CTCTGATATTGTCTGCCCATGACCAGAAGAAGGTCATGCAGTGATTTTCCATGTCGAAGGGGCTTGGGGATGGGAGATTGAGCAGGAGAGGCTTCAGAGCTATTCACTTTGCAGTTGAGATATGAGTGAGTCTGTTCCCAAGTTGCATGGCATTGAAGGCTCATCAATAGAATCTCACTTTCTATGTCAGAGAACGGGTAGCGTAGTGGGCTACGAGTGGGACTGCTATCTACAAGGTTAGCAATTCAAACCCACCAGCCCTTCCTTGGGAGACAGATGAGGCTTTTTGTTCCCATAAATATTTACAGCCCCCAAATCCCAGAGGGGTAGTTCTACTCTGCTTCATAAGGTTGCTATGAGTTGTAATTAATTCGATGCAGTGAGCTAGTTGGGGCAGCCACCATTCATCTGTCAGTGGGGGCATGTAGGCTGCTATGATATGGAACAGATGTCAGCAGAGTTTCTGAACAAAGATGAACTAAGAAAAAATTCAGTATGCTACTTCCAAAACTCAGTCAATGAAAACCATATGGCTCAGAATGGTTTTATCTGTAGTCGACCATGAGGATGGGTCAGTACGCACAATGACTTGATGACAGCTAAAATAACAGCAACATTTCTGAAGGTGAGGATGAATTCCAAGAAGGCAAAATATCCTTACTCTGATGAAAGGATATCTCTCACTCAGTGTCTACACCAAAGATCCTGAGACGATCATTACTCAACCAAACCTAAAGGACACCTCCTCCTCACTTATTGATATGGGTAGGTCCCACAGATCAAGCTGCTATATGAAAATTGACATCATGCAAAATGGAGGATGACTACATCAGATCACAAAATGAAGCATGACTGCATCATTGCATAACTTCCAAACCACTTAGAATCATGACCCAGCCAAGGTGACATATAACCTTAACTATGACAGTCAATGTCACTCTTGCCTTACATCTCGGTGTTCATTACTACCAGGTTTCTGTCATTAATGAACAAATAGTTTTATTTTTTACTATTGCCATAAATGTGAAATGTCAGATAATGAGATAGTTGATCAGTGAGCAGTAGGTATATTTTTCTTAGGTTACCTCACCAATACCAGGGCTCTCTCCCCAAACAAGTAATGACTATTTGCTGTAACCCTTGAGCAGACTTCTGCTGGCCTTCTAAATGCAGTACACTTGCCAATGCCTTTAGTCCTGTTTTTCTAAACACTCCACTCCATAAGATGGCATCCGATGAATAATGGACACACTTTCATAGTTCTCTTACTTCCCACAGCACGCAGTGCAGTCATTGCCCCATGTCAACCACTGGAAAGTGGGATCAAAAAAAAGAAATGAAGAAAAGAGAGACTTGATGTGGTCTTAAGAAAGAAGCAAGGCCAGGCTAGGGAGGCGGTCTTAGTTACCTGGGCGGCCACAATAGTAAGACCATAAGTAGGTGGTTTTAAAGAACATGAATTCATTTTCTCAGCGTTCAGGAGACTAGACTACAATTTCAGGAAGTAAATCAAGAAGAAAAAGTCCTTCTTCGTTCTAAAAACTGGAACAATCTTTGGCATTCCTAAACTTGCAGGTGCGTCTATCTCCATCCTCTAGCTCCCCTACCCATGCCCCTGTCTCTTATCTAGTCTTTTTATAATTTGGAAATTATTAGCTTTAGGACCCACTCTACCCAAGGAGGATCTCATTAATATAGTGAAAGAAAACCCCCCACTTCCAAACAGGGTCACCTCTAGAGGACAGGAGTTTGAACATATTTTCAGGGAACACAGTCCAACTCATAGCAAAGGCTAAACTGATCTATACAATAGGCTGGATTGAGGGAGAAGAGCCTTTCTATAAGAAGCCCAGGAGGAGCAATGGTGGGAGAGGATTCAAGAGACCTTGAAAGTAGCATCTGGCCAATGTTCCTTCATAAATTAGAAATTAAATATCCTGTAATATCATCCAAGTGAACAAATAAAAGATTAGATTCTTCTGCTCACTTTTGCATGCCAGACTGAACTCCCTTCAATGTGACTCTGAGCAGGGACTAGGACATATGGCATGCCCCCTTTAGAATTTATGAGGGTTACATAGATTATGTATGAAATTGCCACAAGGAAGTTTAGAATATTGAAAACAGCTGGTTGGTTTTCACCTGGGAAACTGCTCCTTGCCTCTAAACTGCTGCAGCTTATTTGTCTTCAGATTCTTGTCCTCCTCTGAAGGTTACAGTTTGGCAAACATAACCTTCAGAGGAGAACGGGCAGAGCAGCAGCAGGCTCTTCCAGGGCCTAGCACACTCCAGACGAGGTCACTCCTGGGGCCTCCAGTAGGTTGCCACACCTCTTGCCACTGTGGTCACCCAAAGATTCATCATCAGAATTAGGCGCATCACTCAACTATGGACAGGAGTTGAGGCTGGGGTTGAGGTCAGAAGTTAAGAAGAGTGTCGTCAACCATGTTCCTAGGGTAAGTACAGTCTCTCCCACTTTTCCATCAGTTTGTCTGTCGTGTTGTGGTGGCGTGTGTGTTGCTGTGATACTAGAAGCTATGTGACCAGCATTTCAAATACC